CTTTAAGAGTGAATATTGGAACCTTACTGTGAGTTGAAAAATGTAACCTTCACTGTAATATGGCCCATAATCTAATGGCAGATATGGTTTGAAAGCCTTGCTGCAGCCTCCCCTGTGGTCCACGTGTCCTTCAGGAAGGGAAGGACATGTGGGAAAATGAGTGTACAATTAAAAAATAATTTGATCACATGCTTCAGCTTGGTTGGGTACTTGCTGACAAAACTCTCTCCCCCTTTTCTCTGTCAGCTGGAGCACTTAAGCACCCTCCAATGAGGGATCCCCTAAATTCTTGGCAGAAGTTATTCAAACCTAATTTAGTATATTTAAGGGGATCAGTTTTGTGTTTATCAGGCTCAGATAGCGTAAACATCTAAAGTTTTCAGTATTGTTTATAAGTATTGTTTTCAAACACATGTTCCTTATTCTCTAGGAACTTATTTTTTCCATTTACACCTATTTCTAAATGGGGTTACTTGGTGAATGTCCTCCAGAATTTTTCTAAGTCATATGCACTGCATCATTCAGAGAATAGAAATGACTAATTAGAGTGATTTGGGATTTGAATAAAGATGTTTTTGTCCATTAAAAAAAAAGAATCAGCCGTGCCTGGGTGGCTCAGTTGGTTAAGTGTCTGACTTTGGCTTGGGTCATGATCCTGGGGTTGTGAGATCAAGCTCTGGGTTGATTTGGGGTTGTGGGGCTCTGCACTCAGCAGGGAGTCTGCTTCTCCCTGTGCCCCTCCCTCCCACTTGTGCTTTCTCTGTCTCTCTCTCAATTAAATAAATAAAATCTTAAAAAAAAAAAAGTAGAATCAAAGGTTATCACATTTTGAAAAAAAAAAAAATCATCCGATTTTAAATCATCACCATTGCCTAAGTAGTTAATACTTATCAAGGGCCTGGTGTTTACAAAGGTTGTGTTGGGGGTTTTTATATATCATTTTATTTAATCCTTTGGAGAATTTTGAATTAGGTATTACTATCGTTTTTTAAATTAGTAATCTGGGACACAGAAATAAGTGCTTTTCTTGTAATGAAACTAAGCACGCTCCAACTGTACTATCTGTTGTGGTAGCCACTGACCATGGGTGTCAAACAATTGACATGTGGCCAATCCAAATTAAGATGTGCTGGAAACAGAAAATATACACCCGATATACTTGCTTTCAAAGACTAAGGTAAAACACTAAGAATGTAAATATTTTTATAGTGATTACATGCTGAAATGATAATGCGGTGGATTTATTAGGTTAAATAAGAATATTTATGGAAATTATTTTATTGAATAAAATTAAATATTAAAATTATTAAAATTAATTTCCTCCATTTCTGTTTACTTTTTTTTTTTTTAAAGATTTTATTTATTTATTTGACAGACAGAGATCACAAGCAGGCACAGAGGCAGGCAGCGAGAGAGGAGGAAGCAGGCTCCCTGCTGAGCAGAGAGCCCGATGAGGGGCTCGATCCCAGGACCCTGGGATCATGACCTGAGCCGAAGGCAGAGGCTTAACCCACTAAGCCACCCAGGCGCCCCTTCTGTTTACATTTTTGTTAACTGCAACTGCTAGAAAATTGAAAAGTACATCTGTGACTTGCATTCTGTTTTTCTTTTGTACAAATGGTACTCAAACATCTGTGCACACAGTTGAAACGGGCAAATAGTTCCATGTACAAGGCTTGTGACTTGTGGCATCCTTTTCACCTCATTCCTTCCTCCAGGGCAGCTGTCTTCATCTTGATCTTCATGTCGGCGCCAAGTTTAGCACTTAACAATTGGGTCCATATCACTAAATTACTCGCTGCGTTTCTGCTTTATTATTACTATTGCTGTGGCGGTTGTTATTGTTTTATATTGATTGTAGGCTTTGCTTCTGAAACATCCCCTTAGCATTCAAGGGAGCTCTCGCTCAGTTTAACCCCTGTACCCCTGCCATGCAGGTTGCACAGACACACATATTCTCCATCCTCGTAATATTGCTGTAAACATGACATTGTTTAGGTCAAGATTTAGGGTTTATTGTCATGACTACACATGCTTGCTGTGACTGAGCTATGTATGAAGTACTCTTTTTATTTTCTGCACAATTTTTGTTTATCCTGGAATCAGTAATTGCCTTGTTATTATTCGGTTGCCTAGCTTTCCACGTTCCTGTCCTAATTCAATCTCAGATTCTCTACCAGTTGTCTAAAGTCAACTATGTGTGCTCGCAGATACTTCTGGAGACGCATCTCTTGGAGACTCGGATACTGCTGTAGCCTGCACTCATGGTTCTCTCCTGGTCTGGCCCATGATCTCATGCAGGGAGGGATCTGCTTTCACCAGATCCTAGGATTTCCTCTGCCTTTTGCCCATCTTGGCCTTCCTGTTTCCTTTAGCTTCCTCTTTCTTGGTTAATTTCCTCATTTTGGTGAAGTACATCTTTAGTTAAGCTTCCTGAGAAAGGATGCATGGGATTTAAATTTTTTAAGACCTTGCATATCTAAAATGTCCCCTCCCCCTCATGTTTAAATGTAATTGGAGGTTGGAAACAATTTTCTTTAGAATTTTGAAGATACTTCTCTATTGTCTTTTAGTCTCCGGAATTGCTTTGAGCCATTTGGAGCCAAACATTCACTCACCACCCCTTCCAACTACCTCCCACCCTCTTTTTAAAGTTTTTTGTTTTTTTTAATCTCCAGTGCCTGATGTTTTACTGTGTTATATGCCCTAATATGAGAGGTTTCCATCCTAACTTTCATGTATGAGCCCTTCTATGCTGGTCCTTTAATTTTTAATTTATTCTCTCTTATTTTTCATCTTTTTTATTTTCGCTGAAGTTTCTGAATGACTTCACTGAACTCCAGAACTTCTGTTGTTTTTTATTTCAGCTATCACTTTAATTTGTTGTTTTCTGAAAGTTTCTTACTTTTTGTTACTGTGTTTATTGCTTTATGGCTCCAATATCTCCCTGATAATAATGGTAGTTTCTTAAAAAATGGTTTCCTTCTCCCTGCACAGTTTCGGTTTTGGCCAAGTAGTTTCTTTGCTGTTTGTTTTATAGAGTTGCTGTTTATGATAGAGTCTTTCCTTAGATGGCAGGTGATTCCTGGTTGTTCACTTGTATTTGAGAGTTGGCTATTAAAAAGATGGAAGGCAGATCTCCATGCAGATGTGGGGCTTGTGGGTGTTTGCTTCCCTTTAGAACCATCCATTGGGGCTGTTTCTTGGGGAATCTCTGATGTCAGTACTTATAGATCCTACCTTTTGGGTTAGTCCAATCCCTGAATAGTTTTAGTCTCCTATTTGGAGAGGCTAAGCAGGAGAGAGGGGTGTATTAGACAAGGTTCTCCAGAGACCCCGAACCAATGGAAGGTATATATAATTATTACAGGAATTCGCTCATGAGATTACAGAGATTGAGAAGTCCCATAATCCACTGTCTGCCAGCTGGGGAACAAGGAAAGCCCGTGTGTAATTCATTCTCAGTCCAAAGACCTCCTTAGGTCTGAGGGCAGGAGAGGGCAGGAGAATATGGGTGTCCCAACTCAAACAAAGACTTCGAATTCACCCTTCCTGTACCTTTTGTTCCGTTTGGGCCCTCAGTGGATTGCATGGTAACCACCTACACTGGGAGGGCCATCGGCCTTACTGAAATGCACCAATTCAAATGCTGATTTCTTCCAGAAACACCCTCACAGATATACCCAGAAGAAATGTTTTATTACTTTTCTGGGCATCCCTTAGCTCCCATAAGTTGACCCATAATATTAACCATCGTAAGGGACATGTGGGTTGGGGAAGATATCAATCAGTTTGTAAACGTTCCCTTAATTTTCTTTTTTCAGTAGGGTTTGCCGTACTTTATACTGTGCCCAGAGTTTTCCAGAACAGATCCTCTGTCTTAATCTCTCCAAAAAATAATTCCCCACATTTCTGCAAGGGTGAGAGAGAACAGTTGGTCTGGCTGAGCATAATAAAAGGGAGTAGACTCTTGAATGATATAGGTTTGAATTGTGTGGGTCTACTTATACATGGATTTTTTTTCAATAAATACAATACCGTACTGGGCGCCTGCATGGCTCAGTTAAGCGTCTGCCTTCAGCTCAGGTCATGATGCGTTAGGCTCCTTGCTCAGCGGGAAGCCTGCTTCTCCCTCTCCCTCTGCCTGCCGCCCCCTGCCTGTGCTCTCTCTCTCTCTCTCAAATAAATAAAATCTTAAAAAAAAAAAAACCCACAATATGGTACTATAAATGTATTAACTCTTATGATTTTTTGGTGGCAAAGGCAGAGGGAGGGTGAGAATCTTAGGCAGGCTCCATGCCCAGCGTGGAGCCCAAGGCACAGCTCAGTCTCACAACCATGATGTCATCACCTGAGCCACAGCCAAGAGTCAGACACTTAACCAGCTGAGCCACCCAGGTGCCCCAATGGTCTACTCCCTTTAAATATCTGATAGAATTTATCTGAGCCTGTGCTTTCCTTTGTTGGTGGTTTTTCAGTTGCCAATTCAATATTTATATATATATTTCAATAATTTATATATATAAAAAGTAGGCTCCACTCCCGTGCAGCCCAACGTGGGGCTTGAACCCATGACCCGGAGATCAAGACCTGAGCTGAGATCAAGAGTCAGATGCTTTATTGACTGAGCCACCCAGGGGCCCCGATACAATATATATATATTTTTAAAGATTTTATTTATTTATTTGACAGAGAGAGATCACAAGTAGGCAGAGAGGCAGACAGAGAGAGGGGGAAGTGGCTCCCCGCCGAACAGAGAGCCCAATGTGGGGCTCGATCCCAGGACCCCGGGACCATGACCTGAGCTGAAGGCAGAGGCTTTAACCCACTGAGCCACCAAGGTGCCCCCCGATACAATATATTTTTAAGACTAGTTTTAAGTAAGTATACATCTTGCAACTACTTACTGTTATTTGGTTATTCAGCCAAACTTTCTCCTATCTATTACCCAAATAGAGGTTTTGATATACCTACTTACAAACTTTTTTCTTCTCTTAAAGGTCCGTAATTATACTCTGGAATCAATAAGCCATGGAGTCAAAGAAATTTGCCGTTAAAGTAAGTAGTGCTTAATAGTCTTTAAAATGGTTAATCATTTTCTAATATAATTGAGTTCTGTGTTCACTGACAGTTGAAGTTCTGAACTTGCTTTCTACTCTTTAATATCTTTACTGAAAACTTGAAGTAAGTTATTGAAGATTTGTATATTAAGAGTTGGGGGGGAGAAAAAAATAGTTCATATGGTTATGGGGGTTTCTTGCTTCAAGTCTTCTATAAAATGCTTTTAGGTCATAGCTTGGTCCTTAATGTTAAAAACTGTCATTCTTATATGTATGTCTGGGACATGATTTTTTTTTTTTAAATTAATTAATTAATTAATTAATTTGACAGAGAGATCACAAGCAGGCAGGAAGGCAGGCAGAGAGAGGAGGAAGCAGGCTCTCCGCAGAGCAGAGAGCCCGATGTGGGGCTCGATCCCAGGACGCTGGGATCATGACCTGAGCCGAAGGCAGAGGCTTTAACCCACTGAGCCACCCAGGTGCCCCCTGGGACATGATTTTTGATAATGACAAAGCAGATAGAAATGAGGTAGGCAGTGAATGCTGCAGGTGGGTGAATGCCAGGAGAGAGATCTCTTGCCTGGCTGTCCTCTTTTATTTTCTTTTTGTAAGTATCTCTCCTCTGTCCCTTGGTGGGCGGGTGCTGAGACCTTCTCCATTGTGGGGAGATGGGAGAACTATGTGTGAAAGGTATGGGAAAGGAGAGGGGAAGAATTGATAAATAGTGACTATGAGGTGCCTAAGATGCCTTCACCAATGCTGGCTGCTGAGGACATTTTTTCTGTGCTCGTATTATTATATTAAGTACATTCACAACACCAAAACAGACATATTACCATAGTTAACCAGATCAGATACTACTTAGTATTGTAGTTATATCTTATTTTTACCAAGTCCTGGCTTATTAGACTTACACCATATTAATAAATTTCATTGCTTATCCATGTGTTCTGTAGTGTATCTTTTTATGAGAGGTTATAAGTGGTGAAATTTCATCATTTGTCTCTCTAAAAAATGTATTTTTGTCTTAAATCTGGAAGGTTGGTTATAGAAATCTAGGATGAGCATTATTTTTCCTTGGCATTTGGAAGATACTTTTCCATTGTTTTCTGGAATCTCTTATGGCAACTAAGAAACTTTGTAGTTACTGATTGATGTTTAAAACCACCTTTAAAATTTAGTAGCTTAAAACATAAGCCATTTTATTCTCTCTTGTGATTGTGTAGGTTGCCTGGGATCATTTGGGTCATTTCTCTTTTTGATGGTGGTCGGGGCTGCAATTATCTGGGAGCCCAGTTCAGCGGGAACATCAAAGATGACATGCTTACATGGCTGTCACTTCACACTGGCCGTGGCTGGGGACCTCACCTGGGTCTGTTACTATTGCCTGTCAGTTCTCATTCACATGGCTGATCTGTCTGGCTTGGGCATCTCCTAGCGTCGTGGCTGAGTTTGAGGGATGGTGTCCCAGGACAAGAGTTGCTACAAGAAAGAAGATATCTTGCCAGTTCTTTGAAGGCTTGGGCTCAGAAGTCTCACTTGGCACTCATACTACATTCTGTTGGTCAGAGCACTCAAAGGTCCCAGCCCAGGGGAAGCTGCAGCTTTTGATGTAAGAAGCAGCATGTGCCCACAGGGAAGCAAAGATTGTGGGGGCGCATCTGTGGAGACTAGTAACCACAGAAGTTTCTCTCCTGCCACACTGTGATTTCTTTCTTGGTTATCTTGGTTATCGGCTTTTTTCCTTCTAGCTGCTCTTAAAATTTTGTTTTTGGCTTTGATGTTTTACAATTTGATTATGAAGCCTCAAGCCATAGACTTTATTTATCTGGCTTGGGATGCATGTGCATCTTTATTTGAAAGATACAAGTCTTTTTTATCAGTTTTGGAAAATCTCAACCATGGTCTCTTTAGCTACCATGCTTTATCGTCTCTGTTCTCTTCTTTTGGAACTCTTATACTGAGTTTTCTGAGTAGTCTCATGTAATAGTTTCTTCTGTGCTGTGAGGGTGATATTAGCCTGACCGAGACTGAGCCCCGACAGGCTGTGTGCAAAGCTCTGCCAAAACTGGCAGTGGCCCAGCCGGACAGTTCTGGTCAACCACAGATTTTGGACCCGAGGTGCCTCATGATGCTGGAGAGGAGTCTCTTGATTTCTAAGCCATACACACTGATGGGGCAGATTTGGCTACCGTATTGCCCCATCTCACAGCCGGCTGCACCACCAAGGCCTGGACTTAGCTCCTAGATCATACCAGACAGGGGAGTTCCTCCAGCCATGAGTATCAGATTAGCAGTTAGGGATCTAGACAGCGTTCTGACACATTATATGGAAGATTGTGTGCATCACATTGTTACTGTCTCTGTGCCTCTGATCACACAGGCAATGGGCCAGTGCTTCCCAAATCATGCACCTTAAAAAGCCCCATAACCCAAACACTGGGATCCCATTCTGAATGTGTGACATCCTTCTTGCCAGATTGTCTGTGCTGGCCTAGGGTGTCATGGGCAGTGGGGGACTCGCATACCTGCTACCGATGCCAACATCATGTGCCTTCTCCGACGAATGCTCCTCAAGTAGGCTTGCATGAGTGCTGCTTAGCCACTTGCCTTTTCTTTTTTCATCCTGTGTCTCTGTGTTGCATTCAGAGTGCTGTTTATTACACATCTTCCAGTTCATTAACATCTTCTCATCTGGATTTAATTTGCTGTTTAATCTGTATTTAATCAACTCTTCAATGTGTTTATTTTTCATGACTATGTTTTTCAGCTGAGAATTTGTGTTTTTTTTTTTTTAATTCAAGTTCTACCAGTCCTTTTTTTTATATGCTTATCCTGTTTTTAAAATACATTTCCACATCCTTTTATCTTCTTTATAATTTTAAAGTAATTTATTTCGGGGCACCTGGGTGGCTTAGTCATTAAGCATCTGCCTTCAGCTCAGGTCATGATCCCAGGGTTCTGGGATCAAGCCCCGCATCAGGTTCCTTGCTCAGCAGGAAGCCTGCTTCTCGAACTCTTCCACTCTCCCTGCTTGTGTGCCTTCTCTCGCTGTCTCTCTCTGTCAAATAAATAAATAAAATTTTAATAATAATAATAAAGTAATTTGTTTCATAGTCTCTTGTAGACTGTTCTGTTATTTCTATTATATACTAAGTGTGGAATAAATTGGTGATTGAAATTGCTGGATTGTTCATGTGTGTAATTTTTAATTGTGTGCTCATTTTCAGTCACATCCTACATGTGCATCGTGTGCACATTCACGTGTGTGCATGTGCATGCACACACACAGACACACACACACACACACACACACACACACATTCTAGTGCAGTTGAGCAGTTTCAAGTTTACTTCTGTTGGAACCACTGGCATTTCAGTGGTTTTGGACCAGGCTTCACATTAATTTCATGGCTTGGGATTCCACCACCTTGTGGGTAGTACAACTTTGCAACCTACGAAAGAGTCTGGTGTAAGGTTGGTGTTTTTAGTGTTTTCTAGGATTTTCCTTGCTGTTTTCCCTTCCCTTCCCTCCTGCTAAAGCCATCCACGTCGCTTTCCTTGGATGGCAAGCAGTGATATTTTTTCTTCTAGTTGCCATTTTCATGAAGGTCACAGTTTATCAAGAGAATGAAGGAAAAAGTTCTATGGAATAGTTCCTACTCCAAGAAATTATGGACAGCCTTACCTGTATGAAATACCATAGAGTATTACAGAGATATCTACAAATCCAGTGCTTATGTGTCAGGCATTGTACAAGGAACAGAGGTTGAAGTTTCTTACAGCTCGGCTTAACTGGGATGAGTTCCTTCTGAACTCTCCTTTCTCTTCTACCCATTTTGGGCATTAGGATCCTAGCTCTCTGCTATCCTTGCTCCCACATATGCTGTCTGCCAGGCTCATACCTTCCAACAGGGTGATTTTTTTTTTTCTCCCTTTTCCCCACTTTATTGAGATATAATTGACATATAGTATTGTGTAAGGTCAAGGTGTACAATGCGGTGATTTGATAAACCTATGTGGTGAAATGTTTACCAGAGTAAGGTTAATATATCCTTTGCTTCATGTAATTACCATTTTGTTGTTTCTGTGGTGCAAACATTAAAGCTCGACTCTTGTAGCACCTTTCTAGGATACAGTACAGTATTGCTAACTGTAATCACCATGCTATATGTTAGGTCCCCAGAACTTACTCATAACTGGAAGTTTATACCCTTTGACCGACATCTTTCTATTTTCCCTACTCCTTAGCCCCTGGCAGCCACTGTTCTATTCTGTTTTTGAGTTTGAAGTTTTCAGATTCCATATATTAGTGAGATCATACAGTATTTGTCTTTCTCTGACTTGTTTCACTTAGTATAATGCCCTCAAAGTCTATGCATTTGTCACAAACAGAGGATTTCCTTTTTTTATGGCTAAATAATACTCCATTGTGTATTTACACCACATTTTCTTTATTCATTTGTCCATCAGTGGACACTTAGGTTGTTTCCCTGTCTTGCCTTTTGTGAGTAATGCTGCAATGAACATGGGGTGCACATACCTCTTTGAGATCGTGATTTCATTTTCTTTGGGTGTATACCCAGAAATGGAACGGTTAGATCGCATGGTAGTTCAGTGTTTTTTGAGGAAGCTGCATACTGTTTTCCATAGTGTCTGCCACCAGTTTACATTTCCACCAATCATGCAGCAGCCAAGGTTCCCCTTTCCCCATGTCCTCACCAGCATTCCTTATCTCTGGTCTTTTTGATAGTAGCCATTCTAGCAGGGATAAGGCGATAATGGTTTTTGATTTGCATTTCCAGCAGAGCAATTATTAGTACTATTAGAGGTTTGTTTAATTAGGAGTCTTTTCAAACAGAGAACCATCTTTTGCCTTTGATTTTTTTTTTCCTGTAGTGTACTTGTTTTCTATTTTATGGATTTTTTAAAAATTTTCTCCCTTATATTTCTTTGAGCAAATTTGCTCTTCTCTGTCCAGTTTAAGGTGGGAGCTTA